TGACTTTGTCATTTTTCCAAGTAAGCATGATTCGCAACTATCATCTGACTTTAGGTCAAATGATTCCAATACTCCATCCTTTTGGAGTTGGCCTATGCGTTTCTTGCTTATACGTCCAAGTAGACAATGCCATAATGATGCTTTATCCAAGTTATTATTAACATAATCAATACATTATTTCCTAAGTTATCAACCACAAATACTATTTCATACACGCCATCACAAGGTAATGCTTTAAAATAAAGAACATTATTAAAGAAAGCATTAATCGAACCAACTTCATTATCAAATGAAAAGGTGAAACCTTGTTTATACAATGCATGAAAGGAAATAATATTTCTTGCCATTTCTGGCGAATAACAACATTTATTCAAATCTAAATTTAACCCACTACTTAGCGACAAAGTATAAACTCCAATCTTGGTGACACGTGTAACTTTCCTATTCCCCATGATTAAGTTTATTCTTCCTTGCTCCACATTCTCACTTCTTCTTAGTCCCTGCAAGTCACAACAAATATGAATACCACAACCGGTATCAAGGACCTAAGATTTAGAATGGGGTGAGTTATTAGAAATGATAGTGTAAATACCTGCATGGTTGGGTTTAACTTTCCCATCCTTCACATCTTGCTGGTATTTTGGGTAGTTCCGCTTCCAATGTGATTTTTCATGGCAATAGAAGCATTCAGCCTCTTTTGGGCCAGAAGAAGGAGTGACGAAACCTTTCTTGGTTCCACTTGAAGAAGAGCCATCAACGGTCCGAGCCTTGGTACCCTTTGAAGAGCTCTTTCTCTTCTTCCCTCGACTTTTCCCGAATGGCAAATCCAGAGTGGAGTTTGGAGTAGGAGTGTTAACAACCGACTTCCCCTTAAGACCTGTTTCAGCCGTCTTGAGAAGTCCCTGAAGTTTGCTGAGTGTGACCTCTTCCTTGTTTATGTGATATGTCATGCGGAATTGATCATAGCACGATGGTAAGGAGTGCAAAATGATATATATTGCAAGCTCCTCAGGGAAGTTCACATTAAGCTTCAGCAATCGATCCACATACCTTTGCATTTTCTGCATGTGGCTCGTGACGGATTCCCCGTCCTTCATCGTGGTTGTTATCATGGAGCAGATGATTTCATACCTGTCTTGTCGTTCACTTTGATGGTATCTTTCCATCAGATCTTGGTGCATTTCATAAGGGTAGAAATCCTCATAGGACTTTTGGAGTTCCGCTGTCATCGTGGCCATCATGATGCATGCCACTTTCGTAGCATCCCTTTCATGTGCCTGAAAATCAGCGATCTCCTGGGGAGTTGCAGTGGTCTCATCAATCTCCTTAAGCTCCTTGTCAAGGACATATTCTTTGTCCTCGTAGCGGGTAATCATCCTGATGTTTCTGATCCACTCATTGAAGTTGGATCCATCAAAAGTGACTTTCCCACACAAGTTCATAAGGGTAAAGGAGCCATTAGGATTAGAGCCAGAAGCAGCATTGTTTGAAGACATCTGAAGGAAGAGGACAAGATTAGTTTAGATATTAAGAGAGTCCTTAACAATACACCCAAATGTAATATTAAGGCTAGGATCCAATCATAATATATTATAACTTAGAAGAGGTATGCCGTAATCTAAGCTATAACATATTTGAAAGGTAGGTAGATGACGATTCACCAATTTCCACCACGAAAACCGAAATATTAAATATTAGGTTTTTGATTGGTTCTTAAAAATTCCTAGATTCTTTGAGATTCAATGAACTTTTCAAAGGCATGTTTCAATCTCGAGTGTGCCCTCCAAGTTTTGTGACTGGGATACCGAGGATCACAAAACGAGGTGTGAAGTAACCATGCAAATCACTTGGTACCCTTAAAGTTTATCACTCAATCGATGTTCCGGTAAACCACACACGCTCCACCGATACTATAATAAACCTTAAGTCACCCTTTACCTACCTTGCTAAGTCCAAGTTAGTGTGCCGGTTAACCACACACGCTCCACCAACGACTTAAACAAAGTGTAAAGTGTAATTTCATGGATTAACACCTTATTCACATTTTTCCTAAAGTAACTAAGATTGGGAATTTAATAAAACATATAGTTACTTTATAATATTCATCATACTTTTAATGAGAATTTATAAGTCCTCTTCTTACCCATTCGGCTAACAACCCTCCACCAGTCAAGCAAGCGGTGGGTGAGAGTGGACACCCATTAAGTTGCCATTTTATAGGCAACAACCTTATACCCACCTTATAGACCGGCTTCGTGAATGAGACGTACTAGCGGTAAGACGACTTTGTTCTTATACATATACATATAATTATTAAATCATAATACTATAAGTATAAGGGTAGAATTTTAACTTTTAAAATTCTAAGGGTTGGAACTAAAGTTTTTAATATGACTTTACTTGTTCCAAAACTTGAGGGCAAGTTTTGTAGACTTTCAAAACTTTTCATTTCTTGTAACTTATGAGTTTAATAGAGTAATAAAAATGAAGACTCTTCATTTTTTCTAACTCTTGTGTTCTTTTAATGGTTTTAATTCAAGTGACTCTTGGTTTTCCATAACTTGAGGACAAGTTATGGACTCCATTAAAACACATTATGATCAAGAATTAATCTACCACATAGGTTACAAATAATTCCTATGATCATCTAAACATCATAAGATCAAAAACATGAATATGAACACTTTCATGAATCAAAAGTACACTTAAAACTTTGTAATTTTGATAACTAGTTGTTGTAAATGAATTAGCAAAGACATTACTCCATCTAAAACAAGTTTTCAAGTACCAAAACAGTTTAGGGTAATGTTTCTAGTCCATTTCCAGCAACTAAAGTTGAAAATCTGCACTCTGTGGCTCCTACTCGCCGAGTGCATGAACCTACTCGGCGAGTGCCCCTATGGACTCGGAGAGTTCATCAAGCAGACAACAAGTTTTTCGACTTTTTTCAACTTTTTAGCACAAATAACAAACAAACAAGCCTAGGCTCTGATACCACTGATGGGTTTTGAGCATTCTAACACTTCCTAAGTGTACATGCAACCCTAATAACCTTGGATCTATGTTTGTCTAATTATCATGCAAAGTTGAATTCCAAGGTTATATTCCGATCTAGAATACATGGGGAATAATTTTTAACTTGAATGAAAGATATAATAACTTACCTTGTTGTTGCTTATGTTCCTTGAAACCTTGTGAGCCTAGCACCCCAAGTGTGATGCCTAAAATGCTTCACACAACACCAAATGCTCTTGGAAAGACTTTTGAGAGAATACACACTTCTTAAAATCGGCCTAGCCCTCTTGTTTCATATGTGTAACCGATTTTGGTGGAGAATGGGATTCTTATATAGTGTTGACACATCTTGGGTTACACCATGTAAACCCTAATGTGTCATGACTCTTCATTTCCATGACCCATGGGTTTGTAACTCCCATGGAGTATCCTATGGGTGGAACCTAACTTGATAATCCATGGAGCCTCTTAGCCCACTATACAAGATATGGATGATTTACATAATCAACCCATATATTTAATTAGTTATCTTTTGATCACTTAATTAATTCTAAATTAATTCTTGATCAAACTAATCAAATAATATTATTAATATATTAGAACTTATAATATATTAATAATCTCTAAATGTTATTCCTCTCATTTAGTCTATCCAATTGCATGGTGCCATGCAACCCAAATGGACCATGCCGGGTCGGGTCAAGTACTGACCAGAAATAGTTATCGACTTAGACTCCTTATCCAACACTTATTACAAACCCTAATTCATAATCAAGCTTGGAAATGGATCAAGAAGGACTTTAATGGAGCTATAAAGGACTATAAGCATGAAAACAGGGGGAAACTGAGTTATACCTCAAGGAAATCACTGAAATAACACCAAGATGTCTGGCCTCCTTCTTCTCTTCTTGATCTACTCTCCTTTCCTCTCAAAATCTTCAAGAAAACACACCAAATCACTTCAATCTTACAAGGAACAAGGGTTGGACGATATAAGGAGCTCTGAGGGTGAAGGGGGCGAGCTTGGGGGTGCATAAGATGACTTAAATAGGGTGCAAACCCTTGAAAATTTTGGTTTCAAACAGATAGCCGGGACTCGCCGAGTCGCCAACTTAAACGTGTTCCAAATCCCATCTCTACTCGGCGAGTCAGGCCTACAACTCGCCGAGTCCAAGGCTGAAAATGCAAAACACTTAGATAAATTTTACATACCAGGAACCAGGTGCTACAGTAGTTGTAAAGGAAAGTCCTTAGTATCATTGTAAAAAACAAACCATTTTCCCCAAACCTTACAAAATCAGGGAGTCACAATAGGTGATGGAAAATCCATTTTATGTAAAAATATGTATTTTTTGAATTGATATTTTTTGAATAAATTATATAAGATTAATGGTAAAATGTGTACAAAAAAGTTTAATGGTAAAATGTACACAAAAAAAAGTTTAATGGTATAATGTGTACAAAAAAAAGTTTAATGGTATAATGTGTACATAATATACAATAAAATCCACGTCAGCAGCCACATGGCATGCTACGTGGCATGTTACGTGGCTGGTGACCTACTATTGCCGGTAACATAATGGTATTTTTTGAACAAATGTGAAGTTTAATGGTCATATGTGTACAAAAGCTATAGTTGATTGGTGATATGTGTACAAAAAAAAGTTCAATGGTATTTTTTGTACAAGTCTAATACTTCGTTAGCCTTACAAGTCATTTTCCCTAAAAAAGACACACACAATAAAGAACGATGGAAAAATATGGAAAAGACAACTTGGAACCTTAATTAGAACATGGACTAGTTTCAAAAAGGTTCTTAACACAATCACAAGTTCAGATCGAAAAACCACAAAGACTTGAAAATTTATACTAAACAAGATGGAACAAAATAACATGAAATTCGACTCTAATTTTCCGTTGTGCTTTTTCACTTTGCACCCTTTAGAATTATTTAGTATTACTTCACTACCCTCATCCTTGAATATTCATATTTTCATCACTGCATCAGTGCATCTGCATCTTTTCTTTACTCTGGATGCAATTGAAAACGAAAAAACACACCTTTGTCTTTTCTTTACTCTGGATGCAACTGAAAACCAAAAAACAAAAGTAAATCATCGGTTACTTGATAAACCAAACGCTCAAATTGTTTTTATTTTAGCTTTTTTACTTTTAAATGTTTGACCACTTACTTGATTTGGAGTTAGAACTTGTACTTCTTGATTGATTGGCTGTAAAGCAAAAACATATAAAGCATGATTTTCTACACGAGTTGAAACGACATGATAATAGACAACCTTGGTTATTTGGGACAAAATTAACATAACATTTATAACCCATGAAACATGAAACCCAATAAGATCTATGAAAAACACTTGATTAATCAAGAAAAAGTCTCAACTAAATAAAATGCAATGCGTCAAGATATATATATATATATATATATATATATATATATATATATATATATATATATATATATATATATATATATATATACACACACCATGTGGCTGTTCATTTGTTTCTAGTTTTTTGAACATATCATTAATATGGACGTCCGACGAAAGAAATATGTAACCAAAAACGATGTTCACCACACTGTCAAAAACAAAATCACACACACACATGTAACAACAAAATCTACAGACCAATATGCTTACAAAAATAATTTTAAAATGACTCACATGTTTACTAAAATTACGTGTAGATGGGTGATCATGCCTGGAAAGTAAAAACAAAAAGGATTATATGGATAAATCATCGGTAACTTGATGATATAACCCCAATTAGCAAATGGAGCATGGTAACTTGATAATATAACCCTAATTGGCAAATGGAGCATAGTTAAAGAGTACCATTAAGTCACTTTTTGTTTGTTACAGAAGACATGACTGGTTTGATGTTAAAGGGACGAAAATTGTAATTTTTTGTCCCACCTAAAAATATACTTATAAAACAGGGAGACATGAAATTTTAGCAAACCTGAATCCAAAGATGTTCTTAGTTTTGAATGGCCACTATCTTGAGGGGGAAAATGCGTTCTGTTAACAATTAAAAGCAATATCACCTTAGTATTTTGTATAATACCAAAATACTTGATTAATTTACCCGTTTTATAACGTTTTTATCGTCAAAGATGTGTTACAAGTTACCTAGTAGTGCTCGTATATGATTCCCCAAGGCTTGATTGATTGTCACTCAGTGGTTGTTGATTTGTGGTTGTATGTAAAAGTATAAGAAATATGAGAATTTAGAAGCACTAACTCCTAGAAAACATAACTAAGTAAAACCGTTTTCTTCTCAGAGATCACCTGCAAAGAGTGTTTTTTGAGTGCTTCGAGCTTTTTCTGACAAAAAAAGGCCCAATAAGGTATATGTTTGTGTCTTTCCAACCACAACCCCCAATATTCCATGTATAATCCATCAAGCGTTGTTAAATGGAATTACAAAAATTGGATATACTTTTGAAGACAAAACTAAAAGACTAACTTTTCAAGAAAATATAATGAAAGAGATGAAAACTAGATGGAAAATGTAAAGTGCTTATATAGTATAATACGTTGTTTTTCATCAATGTTTGCCTTCTTTGCAAAATCATCAATAACTCTTTTAAAGCCACGTGCCCTGAAGAAATCAAGAAAGTATCTTGTCAACCTGAAAAAAGAAAAACCACACACATAACAATTAATTACAGAATCTACAAACATATATAGTTATATACTTACAAAAATAAACTTAAAATGACTCACACCAAAATCCCGCCTTTAGCATCATCACTAATCACCATTAATGCCAAGTATCTGCAAATAAATTAAGAATGAAGAATTGTTGCGTGTAATTCATAACAAAATACCGCATATTATTCCACAAATATTCCAAGATCATATTTGACATACGTAATACAACATAAAAAAACAACAAACTAGTTAGAATTCTAAATAAGGAAAAGTAAATAGAACAACCCAAAATTATTGCAATCCCCGCCTTAAATCTTCTTTTTCCTTATCAATAAAGTTTTTCGGAGTTGCATATAGCGTAGGACCTTATGATTCATGGTTTTATGCACATTGATGTCAATTAAATGAAAAATCAGCACGATGACAATATAGTTTAGTCCGCATGTACAAAATATTTTGTCCTTCAACTATGCTTAGTGGTATTGGGTGTCTAAAGGTGTGTGTGTGTATATATATATATATATATATATATATATATATATATATATATATATATATATATATATATATATATATATATATATATATATATATTAGTTTGTAACCATGGAAGCCACAGTTACAAAATTAATTAAACTTTTATAGTAAAACTCAAAATTATTAATCAATTATTTTAAATAAATTACTTTAAATAAGTTATTAATTAAGAGATATTTTTTTAATTATATAAAATTATAATCGTAGAATTAAATAAACATGTAAATTATATCACCTTATAATCTGTATTAATTTTATTTTAAATTTTATTCAAATGTTATTGATTTAATATAATTAGAGTGATGAATTTAAAATTTGAAATTTGAAGTTGAGAATTAATAGATTGACACGTGACATAACATTAAATAGAAGGCCTAATAGGGTGACACATATCAAAAGAAGATTAAAACTATATATATATATATATATATATATATATATATATATATATATATATATATATATATATATATATATATATATATATATATATATATATATATATATTAGCACAATATTGCTGGTCACTTTTCAACTAAGTTGTGTTTAGCACACGTTAACGAGTTTCTAGCAAAGGTAGGCATTTATGAAAGCTCCACTACAGCCAAGCCGTCTAAGTATGTCAATTTTTCCCATATACGAATGTACAACAAATAAAACTTATGCAATTTAAAACTTTATATCATGCAATTTTAACAATATCCCATAAACATTAATTACATTCTAAATTCAACAAATTTAGTGCAATGAACCCCTTGTAAATCACATGAAACTCACCTCGACGTTGTTTGCTCTAGGGATGGACATCGCAAGCAACCTTGAACTCCTACAAGCCTCAAACAAGAATTTCAAAGACAATGTAACACTTCATAGAATCTAAAGGTCCCCAACACGTCCTATTGCATACTAGGTTCAATCTTCCTATGCGAAGTTCGATCAAACAAGGTTTTCACTTATAATTCAGCTTTTATACAACATAACAAATTTTATAATTTACATAATTCCCAACAAATTTTATGATTTACATAATTCCCAACATCATTTGATGATTTACATAATTCCCAACAAATTTTATGATTTACATAATTTTCAAATAAACATAATTTTATGCCAACTTGGAAAATCTTCTAACTTTACGAATAAAATAAACATAATTTTATGCCAACTTGGAAAATCTTCAAACTTTACGAATAAAATAGTGCCCAGATCTTACACATAATCCTTGCTTGCATCTAAATGTAACTAACGTAACATTATAGTATTCTAACGAGAATAACTATTTGAAAATTTTTAAATATCAAAATTTGCATTTCTAGATAAATTCCATATTATTAATGTCATAGGTGAGGACCATAACCTTCAAGAAAAATATAATTCTATTTCAGACCAAATTGAAATGTCAATTCCTATGGAACATATTCATCACTACAACAATAAGTTTGAGTTCATCATTATCATACCTGTAATCAAAACCTTATTGTTTCTTCTCCGCAAACTTGTTTGAAACTTCTTCTGCGTTGCGCTGAAACTTGTTTTATACCCCATAACTTTCCAATTTCAACACCACCACTTGTTGTTTCCTTCAAACCAAATTTAAATTATTAATTTTGATTTGCTTTTCTGTATTCATCTTTATCTTCCCGTAAATAAATTGCCAATGCCACAGTTTATGACATTTTTTTGTAGACTATAACTTTTAGACCAAATATTATGTTCAAAATTATGACCCATAATAATTAAAACTGAGTATGGCCCATATCATGTCATCTTTCTTTCACCCGACCTTTTTTTTCCTACAGCCTCTTCTTTTTCAATGGCGTAGCCATGATTTCATTTTAGGATATCTCAAATAATTTAAAAAATATGAACAAATAGCAAAACACTTCAAATGGTTACAAAATGTAACAATGTATGATTTTAAATAAATTGTTCGTTTAAGTTAGAAGTAATTGCTTGATTAAGATAATAAAAAAATAATATACGAACCTGATAAATGAGAAATTTACCTTGGAGATTGGAATGCAATTTGATCCATTCAAAAAATTGTTGCATAGATTAATCGGCATGTCTCAACAGATTATTTCAGTCATTATGAATTTAAGTTTTGAATGGGGTGTGCCTTGTTATAATTCATAGTCTTAGCATTTTTTATTCAAAACAAATATATATATATATATATATATATATATATATATATATATATTATATATATATATATATATATATATATATAATATTTAACCTCAAATTTATGTGGGTTGGGCCAAGGCCCGCTTTTACACCCATGTAGCTACGCGGCTACACCTCTACTTGTTTTTATCGATTTACATGCTCCGACTTGATAGCTCTTTATGTGCTTAAGAAGAACTTGCATGTTTTAGTTTAACAAAGTTTAAAAAAAAACGATTTTCTTTTTTCATTTTGATTTACACTACATACCATAATTAGCTAATGGTTAACAACTATGAACTAACAAACTGAAATAACAAATTTTGATGCTACTTGATAAAATTTTGAAAAATTTTACTTTTTTACAGAATGTTCCATCAAAAAATTACTTAATCTTCAAGATGAGAGACTTTTAACTATGATTAGAGGAAGGACCAAAATTGCCTAATAAGAAAAAACGTTCACCTCGACACACTTACTAGTTATTTTTAATTTAATAATATAAGAATTCTAGAATTAATAAGGTCATCCATTATACCCACCACTAACCATTATAGTGGTGGATGTCACGTCAATACCACATCTTACCACTAAACGTATGAGATATCCACCACTATATTTCTTTTATTTTTTCCTTTTTAAATATATATATATATATATATATATATATATTATTGTAGAGAGAGGTATAAAAAGTTAGATAGATATAGAAAGATATAGAGAAAAATAATTTAGTTGGACGTGGTAATCCGTGGTATGGTATACACAACAATTTATCACGAGTGTTGCTAATAAAACCAGCTCTAATGGATACATAAAAATTGTGTTTTTGTGTGAAAACGTGTTCCAATGAACCATTAAACTTAACACAAAAATGATAGGATTGAATAGCCACCTCTACATTTGGTGTAATACTATTCATCACACTAAAACATCTTTTTGTTTAATACTATTTTGGTTAGTTTTATAACTTGAAAAATTGTTTTTAGTGTAAATTTTGAATGTGTGGTTGGAATAGAAATTTTTTTTGGTGTTAAAATACACCAATTTAATGATATTTTTAATAGAATAGTTTGAGTTGTTCTAAAACAACATTTAAAATCACCATGATCACTACCAACCACGGGATGTGTTCGTTGTGACATCAACAACTAAACTCTTTGTGAAGGGTAAAGGGTTAATCATTAAAATATGTCTAGCTTTTTAAAACTTTAACCGTTATGACCTTTAAGATCAAACCATTAACATTTAATTTATTTTAAAAAAAGAGAGAGAAAGACGAAGCTTACAGATCCTATGGAGAGGAGAGAAGGATAACAGGCCAGCGACTGATGTGGGTGGTCGGAAGTGCAGTTCTGCAACCAGCGGAGTGGAGATACAGACCGACGGACGGAGATCCCTGATCGGATTTGCAGGTCGGGGAACAAGAGAGATATTTTAGTTTAGGAGCGGAGGTGGGAACTCCGACGGTGGCTTTGCTTTCCGGTGAGCAATCTTTTTTCCGGCAGAGATGATTTTTAGGCTTAGATTTTTTATGTTTGAGCTAATAACGTGGATATTAGAATCCTATTTGGTTTTTTTATTGGGTTTTTGTTTCTTTATCCTAATTTTATTAGAATCGGTATTGATTTTTCCCTAATTTTTTGGTTTCTGTTAAAATGAATTTCCTAATTCTTCGTAATGAAATAATCAATTTGATTGGTTTCTGTTTTTTTGATTTTTTAGAGTTATGTAGTTATTTAAATACTTTTTAAATATAATCACATATATGATGAGCATGAGGGGCCAGCAAGTCAAAGTGTCAAACAACAAATAAAACCAAACGTCCTACTCTAGTTATATTGCAATAAACATTTTAGGCCTTTCCAGGTCGGGTTCTCGATCCCGTCCATACGTAGAAATGCTCACAGCTCACCCCTATCCTCAAGAAAACAAAAATGTAATTCTTATTGCAGGGAATTTTGAACATTAAGTATTGTTTGTTGTATTGGATTTTGATATGTAATACATATTTTAGTAAACATTTTTTTTTTTAAATATTATTTTGTGGCACACATCCAAATTATATAATTTTAACATTATAAAAGGCCGAGTATTTGTTGATTTGTTGATCTGTTTAGCGATAATTTTTTTTATGTTGTTTTAGATGAAAATCGATGAATAACGAATCCACAGAAGGCACTTACAACGCCTTCCATGGACTTGTTCTTCAGCTCTTTGGATTCGTCTTGATCTCTCATTTGAGCTAGTTAAATATGTTTATTTTTTTAAAAGATTATAGCATAGGAATTTAACATAAGAGGAGAGTTAACAACAAAACGTGTTGCTAAATGTCTATCAACCATATAACATGTTTCAGTTATTTTTTAGATGTCTCTTATCACGAAGATGCGTTACTTATACATATGATGATGATGCATGAGATGAAACCGACACAATGTCATTTGGATAGCACAAATTTTATCTATCCATTGGATTTCCTTTTGGTTCATACGTTGATATCCTTCCTCCAACTAGGAGCCCAGTGCACAATTTTGCTTTAGTAGCTCGATTGTTCCTACATGAGATAGTTGCATCTGTTCGAATTTTTTTATTTAGAACAATATATAGTTAACATGCGGTTCTTAAAGATTTGTGGTGGAGACGCAGTCAAAATTTATTTAATATATTTATTATGTAGGGGGTTAATGGGTTGTGTAACATCCATAAAAATCACAACAAATTTAAACGTTTTAAAACAACCCCAAATCATAGAAATTTTACAAAATCATTGTTTTCAAAGTATTGTTCCATATCAGAGTCTCTCATAGATCAAAAGTACATAAAACAGAAGATGTGTGCGGTTACGCCTACGCCTTCCCGCGATCATAAGTAGTACCTGAAACAACAGCTAAAACCATAAGCCAAAGCTTAGTGAGTCCCCCCAAAGTACCACCACATATAACATATCAAACACAACATGCATAACCGAGCCTTCAGCTTGACTGGACCGCCTCGCAGGGACTTCAGCCTATCTGGATAGCTCTCGAGCCTTTGGCATGACTGGACCGCCTTGTAGGGCCTACAACCTATCCAAACCGCTCTTCAGGCCTTCGCCCTAACTGGAACGCCTCACAGGGCCTACAGTTTATCCAGACCACCTTGGGAATCTTGGCCTTCAACACAAAACGGGACCGCCTAAACCCGACCAACCACAACATGTCGACATACCCATTACAGATAAGCATATAACCTGACATCAGACAACATGCAAATTTACAGATCACTACGCATGCTAACATTCAATATACCAGGATACCGATTTACAGATCATTATATCATAATAACATCCTATATACCAGGATACAGATATAACATATCACCACAACATAGCAACATACGGTAAAACAAAATATAAATCCAAAGGGCCGACCTTGGTGACTTCGATCCGTAAGTACAGTGAGGAAAACTCACCTCACAGTCAGAACAATAGTTGATGAGGTCCCGAATCCAAATCTTAGCTCTAACCGTCACCTATTCATCCAAATGACCAATTCTCAAACACCATTCAAAATACCCAAAATACCCCTTGGTCAAACTTGGTCAAAGTCAAAGTCAAACTGAGTCGATCCAGCCGAGTCGACACAGAGTGTGTGACAACTAGAAAATTTTGGGTCAAACAAGGTCTGAGAGGTCTTGTGTATAAATGTACCCACAACGTATTTATATGTAACCTTGTTGCAATAAAACTTTGAAAGCCAAAAAGGGGCATTATATATATATGTGTGTGTGTGTGTGTATATACGTTGAAAATCTTGTTGGTAGTAAACACCTAAAGGTCAAACAAGTCAAATAATTGATACAAATCATGAATTTAAAACTTTACTGTATAATTTATGGCCTTGTACCCCACCCACCTTGGGATTTCGGTTGTGAGGAGGCCGAAATCTAAATCTAGAACACCCCTAGGATCGAAATCACCCTTAATCGGTGATGCTTAGACCGAAAACCCTCCCATGTGGAGCCTCAAGACCGAAAACATCAAGAACAAGCCCACTAAGGCCGAAAACAAATTGGAGGGGGAGGTTAGGACCGAAATCACAAAGGAATAAGGTGATTTTGGTCATGCATGGCCGAAAACACCACTATGAACCTTCCTAAGGTGATTTCAGTGGGATTTAAGAGGATAAGGTTTGACTTTATGACTTGATAGTGTAATCTTTTCCCATGCAAAACAATACCTAACGAACACCCATGTATTAACCCACAGTTAACCAATAAACATCACATCACATCACTTTCCCTTCCTTATCTTTGGACAAAGTCATACCCAAAACCCCGCCATTTCTCCATTCTACTTCATTTTAACCTCTCTTTTCTCTCAAGAGCAAACCTAG